AATTTTAATATTACAAAATTCATAAAAGTTAAGAACGAAAAAAAAATGATAGCAGCACCCGGTATTCCCAGGTCGTCTCCGTCCCAAGTACTGACCGGGCCCGACGCCGTTTCACTTCGGTGATCGGACGAGAACCGGTATTTTCAGCGTGGTATGGCCGCTATCGAAATATTATTTCTCTTATTCTCTCTTTTATACACACTTACATACTACTTTTATCGAAATTGAGTTTTGGATTGCAATTTGAAAAGTTGTAGATCTATAAATTGCCACTGTCTCCCGTCTGTCTGTCTGTCTGTATGTGTGTCCTTTCTTAATCTCGAGAACGGAATCAGGACCGACGTGACTATATTGCTAACAGGAAGAGTATGATATAAAGGGGCAAGACACTTCTAATTTAATGTAAAGAGCATATATTTTAAATTAATTAAATTAACAATATGATTAAAAATTGCAGTATGGCATTGTGATTATTTCTTTGTTTCTCTCACTCCAAACTCGCCCACTGCTTTTTGGCATGACATCAAACACGGTGACACAAGTGCATGTACAGTACTTTATACTTAACTATTAATAACTAATGCATTCGCAATTCTCTGTAAGTTATATGAAATATAATTGCGGGTGATACCAGCACGTTTGATGACAGTGGCAATTTATAGATCTACAACTTTTCAAATTGCAATCCAAAACGCAATTTCGATAAAAGTAGTATGTAAGTGTGTATAAAAGAGAGAATAAGAGAAATAATATTTCGNATATATATTTATAACTTTTAGTTTAAAAATTTAACCGTTAAATATCAGCCATACGCGTCTAATATTAAATTCCCAAATTTGAGTTAATATTTCCAAGACCGACGAACCAATTTGGATGAAATTTAAAATATTTAGTGTCTGAGATGAGGAATACGGGAGTCTTAAATTTTGAATGAATTCGTTGGATTGTTCTGGACTTATGCAATCCCAAATTTTGCATTTTTTCCACTAGATTTACAATGAGATTTTTATTTGTTTGTTAAGTTACGGCAACGCAACACTTGGACGATCTGCCTAGGTGCCTTCTGGGAGGTTTTTTAAGGGTAACTGGCCCTATTCAGGCGTTACAGACGTAGAGAAAACCCAGAAAACTCCACGTGGCTATCCTGTCCTGAAGAGGTTCGAACCCACTACCGAACCCTCAGTGTTCAGGGAACGGAACCGTTTGACCCTTGGTGGGCCACAGAGATTTTCGCAACACCAAGCTACCGGAAAATCTAGGAGTCTGCGTATAGTTAATAGCTTTTGAGAGCTGACCATGTCTTTTGTGATCCTTTTGACGGTTTTATTTTAAAATATTGATTATTTACAAAATTATAAGCCATATGCGATTACTATTAATCTATTAATTAATACAAGCATAATGATTTTAAAATAGAACCTATACTCTTAGCCCGATCTGCATCAAATTTTATATATTTATTATCTGAGAAGTTTTAATTCTATCTTATTATGAGGTTATACACGACTGAAAAATACTTAAAAGTCCATTAAAAAAACTGGTGAAAACCAGATTGAAAAACTAGAGCTCAGCATAAACTTTACTTTTTAACCTGGTTTCATCAGTTTTTTAATGGGATTTAGAATAAATTGAGATTTCTAAAGATTGGAAAGTATGCGAAACAGTATCCCAGTTTATTCTATTCGTGTTAATTTTGTTCCATAAGAATATTCTGGTTACAATTTCTTTTATTTTCAATATAAAGTAATGATATTTTTAATAAAAATTTACAAATTATATAAATTCTTACCTCCAAATAATAAACTGACTTTAATTTTCTAGTTTATAAGCTTCTTCTGGATTAAAGTAACTTTAAATGCCGATTCATTACAAATAATATAATTATTAATGCTACATTGCAAATTAAACCGAATCAAATTGTTTTTTAAAAAACAATATTGTTATAAATTATTTTGAATGTATTTTTAAGCTATAATAAATTAAAAATCATTATCATAATACAGAATTTGTAATAGTTATTTAACGTGTTAATAAAAAGACTTGTCATGTAATCTTCGAATGCTGGCCACTAATCTTGCATTGCCTTGTAAAGGAAAAGTATAATATACAGGGACAAGCCACTACAAATTTAAGATGGAGAGAATATATTTTAAATGAAATAAATTAAAAATATGATTATAAATTGAATTGCAGCTCGGCATTTTGATGATGTTATAATAATAAATAATTGCTAATTTGTTTTTTAAAAATATCTGACTTTGCAATGTAGCATTAATTAGAATGAATCAACGTATTTTATTTATTCTATTAATAAATAAGTAGAATAAATTATTAGCAGGAGATAANTGAAAAACTTTGTAAAAAAATAAAATAATTTAAGAGTTTTTTCGAAAATACTACAATGTAAGATTGAAGAATTTTCTGTGTAATAAAATATATAAAAATAACTTTCAATATTCGTTTGTAAAATTCACTAAACATAAAATTGTTATACAAAAATATAATATAAGTTTCTGTGATTTGATTTCGTCCTTTCACCATATGATACATTTGTTTTCGGGATTCATTCTCGATCCTGGTTTGCAATTGAAAGCTTCAGAAAATTCTTTCATATTGGATAAACTGCCGATCACCCTAAATAATTAAATTAGTAAGCATAAAATTAAATTTATTTAAAGTTAAATTAAGTTTCTAGGATTCTACCTGAATGGATTTGCAGAATGGGGATCATCTGCATACAATTTTGCTAGTAATGATGGTGGATGAATACTACTGCACCACGACTAAAATACAAAATATATACTGTATATATTAAATATTTAGTCTTAAATTAGTTATTCACTTTAAAAAAAATTACCTTAGCGAAAGATATAAAGAATAATTGTTCAGGACTGTACTTTTCTAAACCTGGAAGATGATTTTCTTTCCCATTATCTTTTACCCATTTCTGATAACCCTGATTTAAAAATGAAATGAATGATAAATAATATAATTAATTCTATAAATTGTAATTTGAATATTTAATATTTTAATTAATTTTTTTTAAATGACGACGTAAAGTTATTTTTATAGTTTAAATATATAATTAATACACATTTACCAAATAAGCTTGACGAATTCCACCGTTATCTGCAATATTCTCTGATAAAGTTTTCTTTCCATTAACCTATAATTGAAATATAAAGAAAAAATATTTTGCAGGAATAAATAAATCTCGAATTTAATATGCAACCCGACCTTTAAAAACGCGTGGAAAATAATCTTAAATAAAAGTACTGTACGTTAATCATACAATAATTTAAAAAAACTACAGTCTAACAAGTGTAAAGTATATCTCACTTTATAAAAATTCTGTATTAGATTTAATTAAATGAAAAATAAATACAGAAGAGCCTCACCGTTGTACTCAATCCATCGTAATAATAGGAATTGTATTGATTGATAAAACACTCCGATCTTTTCTCAAATTCCATTTTCGATTCCTCTTTCCACCAGTTTTTTAAATTTCCATATTTATCTCTTAAACGTCCTGAAAATAAAAATTATTATTATGTATTTTTTTTTTAATTTAATATATATAAAATTATTTCAAACAAATACCTGAGTTATCGAGTCCGTGAGTTATTTCGTGACCAAATATGAGTCCCATTCCTCCGAAATTCATAAATCTGTGGAAATTATTATTTATTTATTTAAATATATATAACCTAACATAAATTTTTATAATCATTTCAGATATAAATTTACTTTGGTTGATCGGCGTGATAGAATGGCAATTGTTGAATACCAGCAGGAAGAACTGAAAATATTACATGTACTTATGAAAATTGCATTATATTCGTGATTAGATGTGTTTAAATGTATAATTCATTTAGCTCCTTACTGTTATTAATTTAAAATTTAATAATTGATGATTGAAATAATTAAAAATAATATTTTTAAAATGTAAAGTTACTCACTAATAGCATTAAAATTAGGTACGTAAAATCCATTAACTTGTGATCCTGCCATTTGCGGATACGGTGGCCATCTTACAAAATATAATAATAATTTATTATAATACGATAATAGAATTTTATATCTATAAAATATTTATATAAGTTAATATTAGAGAGATTGCGGCCGAAGTTTTCATCTTTAAAACGTGAACCGTCGAACGTCGAGCGCCGCTTACAAGATAGAGGCGCTCGACGTTCGACGTTCACGTTTTAAAGATGAAAACTTCGGCCATAAACTCGCTATTAATTCAAATTTAAAATTAACATACTTGGTTCTATCATTGTTCTTCCGATAGAGTGAGCATAACTTCTTTAATAAGAACTTATTTAAATTATTCATATTTTCAAAAGAATTGTCAGTCATTTTAGGAAGCTATAAAAATTTACAATAGACGTTATTAAATATAAATAAATAAATTTATATATAACATATAACGAAGTCAAATATACTCTTTTTCTGTACATACAAATTTAAAGTATTCTTCTAATTTTTCAACGTCTTGAGTCCAAGATGCAAAACCCACGTGTATTATCATGTGATCCAACTATATTAAAACATGTTTAAAAAGTGTTTGAATAAGCACAACGTTATAAAGTGATTACTTTTTCTACTTACTTTGTCTTGGACTTCTTCTTTGGTTAATTCATCCAACCACGTCGATTGATTTACCATTTCTTTCATAGCCATCATCATATAATCGATCAGTTCTTCGCTCTAACACAAAGTAATCATCAAAATATTAACATTACATAGTATATTTTATTACTAAAGATGAAAATTATCTTCTTACAATAAATTTTTCTTCTCTATACTTTCCATATAAATAATCCAAAGCGGGACTAACTGTTTGTGTAAAGAAACTTTTACACTGAGACCATTTTACATTCGTAGCTGTTTTATGTTTTAACTTTAGACTACTTCCTTCAAGATAATTATACGTAAATAACTCTGTCAGAAAAGCAGAACCGCCGTAATTCAATAATAGCCTAATATAAAATGAATAAGTAATTAAATAAATAAAATTAATTAACTGTGTTTAATTTAACAACAATAATGATTAAAGCTTTAACTACATCAAATAAATGTATTTAAATTCATTAACTGATAAGAGTTATAATATTTTCTTTCCTTGGCGGGTCAAAAAATGACCTCCAAGAGTACATTTTTTATCTAGAAACCTTCAAACGTCGAGAAATGCAGCCAAATTGAGGGTTTTCCTGTACGTATGGAATTTACTGTGTCTGTGGGGACACGATTTTATTCACCCTCTTTGAAGGTTAATATCTCCTGTGCTTTTTTTCGAAATTTTCTGAAGTTTTGCAGAGAGGTTTGTGTATTAAGGGCATTGATTCTATTAAATTTTGGTAGTTAGAGGTCGACGGGACAGCAGCCAGACAATCCTTTATTATGAACGATCCAACCAACAACACCACATAGTTTGTCTTTTAATTTGTTGGACTTGAATGAGTAAAACTGTGGAAAATTATAATAA